ATATATATATATACACGCTATAATTATTTTTCTTGAGATGCCTCTAATGGGATTCCAGTCCACTCTGGTAATCGATGATACAGTGTATATGTCTAGGGCTTTTATTGTGAAAGGTAAGAAAGGCAGGAGTGAAGCTGAAATGTGGTGCCGTTCACAACGTGGGAGCAATAAAGAGCTTCCCGTCTTGGTTCAGACTATGAAGCCTCCGTGTTATTATTCGTTACCTTTATAACTCCTAACCCTCGGCTACAAAACGTTATTCCATTACCTATTTTGTGAACATGATTTCTGCCTGAGTCACATCACACAGATTTTCAACGGCAATCACGATTGTTTAACAATGAAAACAACTCCCATGATCCTACGCTTCTTCACGACGTCGTCGAAGTCATGTCTTTTGTTATCGTTTTGCTCAAGGCTGTCAAGACAAGACAGTCAGACTTTGTCGTGATTTTTGAGGAGTTGTCATGTCCGAGGGGCAGATCAGAGACTCAAGCGCAGACACAGGAGATGAGGTTAGGTAGAATGCAAGGTTATTTACTGGTCACCAAGCAGTCAAAAACAGGAACTCAAAACAACTCCAACTGGGAGCGAGCAAAAATTGGAAAAAGGCAAAATCACAAAAAAAGGCAAAGTCACAAACCATGGAACGTAGAGAGACAACACGAGGGATAAACACTGGAGACACGATGAGCACACGGGGAGGAGCAAGGCCAGAACATGAAGCACACAGGGGAACAGGGAAAGCAGGGGAGTGTATATGTGTGGGGTGATGAGTAGATTGCAGGCAGGTGAGTTGAATGAGTGCAGTGTGGGGTTGGCAGAGCAAAGAGCCAGGGGCAGGTGATTGAGCACAGGTGAAGTGAATGAAAGCCATCAGGAGACACTCAGACACAGAGACACAGGACACAGGGGGCAAAGCCTAAACCGTGACATGAGTGGTGGTTGTGTAACCTCACTGAGGTCACCACCAAAACTTCTTATTCACCTTGAGCCTGACTGAACTTGAAATAGTCATGTGAGAAGATTTGTGAACTCCAGTTGTCCTTCATTGTTGCCCACTGGTCCTCCCATCCCCATCATGGGCACACTCCCCAATTACCCATTGACATTTGAGTGTTGGGTTTTGAATTCTCTCGATCATTTCCATTGAATTCATCTCATTCCATTACATCTCTCCCATTACTTCCTCACATTTAGCCCGTATCCTGCACTCTACCCCGTTGTGAGGACATGTGCACACTTCCTGTTCTGTATTCCGCTCTGCAAGTTGAGGCACAGTTGGAATATTTCAGCACCATAAATAAATGAACGCGTCTCTTTTCCTCTGCTGTTATTTGCAATCGACCTTCCTCCAGTCACTCAGCATCTGACTCAAGGGACCTTTTTAAAGAGTGTGTGCATGTTGGATTGCACACACGTGCATGAATGTGTGTGTGTGTGAGTGTGTGTGTGTGTTGGCGTGCATTCCTTAATATGTGACTTCTGCTTGTGTGTGTTTTAGTTTTCAAGGCTCCGCTGAGCCGAATGTACAAACTGAATGGAGAGAACTCAATATCAATGTAAATGTATTCCTTTGTCGTCTTGGCTGGAAAAGTTTAGTCTCATTTTTATGCACATAAACATCTATAAAATTTATGAAGTGAGGCACATAATTATGCCGAGGTGTATTTTACTGTCACTCCTAATGGTGTAATCATGAGTGCAGTGAGCTTAATTGATCATGTAAGTAGCCTAGTGTTTACTTTCACTTTCCCAGGACATCTTACTCAGCAGAAAAAAAAACACCAACTGCTGCACGAACAAACTCTTTTGCCTCCCCTCCTGCTTGCCCTGGTCCTCTCCGTCCTGCCCCTTTCTCCTGGAGCATGCATTATATAATACTTCTTATCTAGAAAATTCTTGGCCCCTCAAGTCTGAAAAGTCCGGGGAAATCATTAAAGGAGGGATTCCTATGTTGTTATAAGCTGCAAAAAAAGGTTTGTAAAAAGTACAGAAAATGTCTTTCTGTAGCCGTTCTCTCACATGCCGTGTCACTGTGCGGAATTATCTTCATGTACAGCAGTGTTACTGGGGGGGGGGGGTGTACCTTTGATTTGGCCAAGGAATTGCATTGTCTGATTTAAAAGTCAGATGGATGGCTGAAAATTGTGACTGAAATGTATGATATGGAACTATTAACTCATAGAATAAGAGCTCAAGTGGAGCGATGTCGTGAGAAGTGGGAGTAATGGACGATGTTTACATGTCAACGATAACACAACCTGAATATTTCACAGGAGTTATCATGTTTTTGAAGAGACAGAGCAATACAGATCCCTTTTTTTTTTAAATTTATGTTTTTGTGTATGTGTTGTCTGTCCGAAAAAATAAAGTGTGAGAAAAAAAAGTCATTTTCGGTCCCCTGCGGGAGTTGAACACCCAGTTTGAGAGCTACATGAACTGACGTCTGCTGTCTCTTCTCTCTCTGTGTTGCAGCAGGAGAGCAGCCATGGACGTCGTCTCCTCGCTGGTCCGCCCGCTCCTCCTCCTCCTCCTCCTCTTCGTCCTCCTGTCCTCCCTCCCCTCCGGCGGCTACTCAATGCTGTGTCCGAAGCGGTGCACCTGCCAGAACCTGCTGCCGTCCTACACCGTGCTGTGTGCCAAGACGGGCCTCCTCTTCGTCCCGCCCAATATCGACCGCCAGACGGCCGAGCTCAGGCTGATGGACAACTTCATCACAACGCTGAGGCACCGCGACTTCGCCAACATGTCCAGTCTGGTCAGAGCTCACCTCCATGAAAGCCTTTGCAATTTACTTTGATTAGCATAGTTTCTGCCAAACAGTTTGATATGGATGTGATCCAACTGCACTCTTGTTTCCCTTCGCTGTTTTTTTTCCTGTGGTTGCCAGGGAGCTACTGTAGTCAACAAGCACATTTAAAAAATAAAATCTGGCTTCAAGTGACAAGATTTATATAAAAGCTAAATGATGTGACTGACGTCCTTACCTGTTATGGGTACTTAACTGAGCTGCTTACAGAACTCAGGCTTTAACGTATATGACTCACAGTCATCATTCTCAACTACACATAATTTACACTGAGCCAGTCGTAAAGATAAAGGAAAAGTCAGTCAGTCATGGATGAATCTTGAACTTGAACCCAATGCTTTAGAGATATTGAAAGAAACCTAAAGAAAGGTTTGACCTTGCAGGAGAAGGCGTCTTTCATTCCCCTTTACCCTTACTGTAGTTCTTCACTGCTGATAGTGCAAAACAAAGAACTCTAAAAGCCTTGTAGTGGAAGTTGGGACTGTGCAGAATCAGCCAGTACATGCATGTACTGGCCGACATTTAGGGTTGCCAGGTTGCCACTGGCACCCAATAAGAGAAATGTGCAACTTATTCTTGGCCCTTGGTTGCCATCAGTGACAAACACTCTTTAACGTATAAAAGTAGGAACGGATGCATCCTATATATTTATTCATTTTGTCTTTTATATTACATTTTCATTATTAAGGTGACTTACAGCTGCAGAGTGTCTCAACTAGCTAAAATATAAGGTTTAAAAATGGCATATTTTCAGTTTCTGCAAACAAAAGCTGATTTTGAGCTTTTAAAAGTTAGCGTTGAGCACTGCTCTCGCCACAAAGGCTGTTTTGCAGTGGCCTGGATAGTTCCAGGTCAGGTGGCCTCTATCTCTGCTACAGGAGTGGCAGTTTGAACTAATCAACAATGGTAAATATCATGACAAGAGAGTAACTCATTCCACCTGATGTAAAAAAACAATTCCTCAAAAACAGTGTTGCATACTAAACTTACTGACAACCCTTGACAAACCCCTGCTGTTACGGCCATCATCAGTGACTATCCTGTCGCAGAACTGCAGCCATAATGAGGCGAACATATCTGCTAAAATTGCTGATTGTTCTCAAACGGGATGGTACTTTTTGAATCCACTTTTGTAATCGGATGTACCCGATTAGAACTCAGCAGTGTCCACATTTGATATTTTAATGCAAACTGCCTGACCGGGTAGTGACCAGATATATTTTGTGGTGAAAGGAGCGGCTGTTAAATGGCGGATAAACACATTTTATTTCCGATATATTCTTCACAAAAAAAGTCCCCAGTTATTTTGTAATTTTAAAACTTTTATTTTGAAGCGGCAAGATCAGGAAACTAAATATATTAATTTCTGTCGCAATCTTGTAGTAAATGTGCTGTTATCTCCACCTGCAATACATCAAAACCCATTTGAAAGCAGAAGGTAAACATCGGTTATGTATGGACTTTCAAAAGGCATTCTGAGATATGTAGGTTATCACTAATTTAATTAAAAGGGCACAAGGTAGGCTGAGCGAAGTGGGTACATCAAAAACGGTGGAGTTCAAAATAACTTCTAGAATGAACTGAGCACCACAGATGACGAGCGATGGCCTGATTTGACTTTTCAAGCATTCTGATTGAAAGAAAACTTCTGTCAGTGCTGTCAGGAACATGTAAACACACTTTTAATGTTTATTCAACACTGAATGCAGAAACTAGTAGGAACATCTGCTCCTTCCAATACAACATATTGACTGAGGTGAAATCCGTGATGTTTTACGGATTTCACCAATTAATCCCACTGTAATCATGTAACGGAGGTGGAAGGGCTTCACCGCCAGCAGCAAGCACAAAAAGAAAAGTACCAGCATCGTCATGCCACCGTCAAATAGCGACGCAGCTGGAGACTTCCTTCAGTGTTTGACAAAATAGGTTTCCTCTTCAGTATGATCGCGGCAGCACAGATGATGTTTGCTCACACTCAGGGCAGCGTGGGAAATGAGGTTTTAATCACACGGCGGGGAGCGAGACACGACGGTTCTCCAAAACAGGTTTAGAAATGTGTGGGTGTTGATTGACCTTTTCTCAGGTGTTAATTGAATGTATTTCTGCATTTATGTATTCCATGCAGTGGAAGAATTCCACAGCCTGCAAACTCCCGACCTCAGCAGTGTGTTTTCTAATCAAACTAGTATTTATTAATGAAACCTAGACTTATTTTATCTGTAATTCCACATCTCAACTGACCCACTGTACTCTCGTTTTAATTACTAACATTATTATGAATGAAGGGTGGCAGGGTGTTTAAAGGCCATCCTGTAACCTGAGTGCCAGTTTAATCCATCCAGTGTCCATCCTGCTGAACCGTTCTTAAGTGAAACATCGAAACTCTATCACAGGGTAATAGCTCTTCTGCTAACCCTGACCTTTGACCTCCCTGACAGAAAGAGTGTCACTGTAAAACATGGTATAGTGTTTGACGGAAGTGAAATCTTACTAAATTGTTGCTTGTATTGAATCGAATCATTTTATAGAGTTTTAAAAAGAAGTGGGAAACTTAGTGACAACTTCTTCACAGTCAGAGATCCAGAATGACAAAGTTGATCCAGTGTTTAATGGACATTTCTCACGTTTCTCTGTATATCCAGATCCACCTGACCCTGAGCAGAAACACCATCAGTCAGATCAAGCCGTACGCCTTCGCTGACCTCCAGGACCTCCACGCTCTCCACCTGGACGCCAACCGCCTCACCGCCCTAGACGACTCCCACTTCCAGGGCCTGGTGAACCTGCGGCACCTCATCCTGGCCAACAACCAGCTGCACAGCATATCAGAGGGAGCCTTTCAGGTATAGAACACTACACCTGAACCCTGCTCACGAACACTACCGCTCTTAAAATTACATGAGACCAACAGTTTAGCTTTCTTAATGCGAAAGACACGACAGATGCTTCTGCTAAAACTAGTATTAATACTACACAGCTGTCACTGCCACTACAACCCGGTCTCACTCCCATGATGTTGGTCAGATATCGATGCGTGTGGAGGTGGATGGATCAAACAAACTAAGGGCCCGACGTCCAGGAGAATGCTGTTCATGTCCCGTGCAAAACTAAAAGTAAATGTTGACATTGCTGGACCTGCACATTATGAGTTGTATGTCTTCTTCAGTCACACTGAAGAACTTCCACACCACCAACATGTTGAGTGTGTGTGTGGCATTACTGTCTGTGCAGCTGTTTGCCGATCACATTTACAGAAATATGAGACTGATCAGCCAGTCAGCAGTTCATGAAGACCGGCCGGTTTCGATCTACTGTCCCCCTCTTCTCACTGTACATCAATGAAGTCAACGAGCTTCAGGGAGAGCTGAGATATCAGTTGGAACGTTGGACACGTCTCCACTTAAAGTTTCAGTCGCTGGATTAACACCCACGTCTTTCAATTGACTTTGAATAAAACTGCATCTCCAGATTTAGCTTCAAGTAGTTTTATTTGCTCAATCTTAACCAGACCTCAGCCCTGAGCAAAATGGGTGGCAGATCAGAAAACATTCCCATGATATGACTCATAAAACATATATCATTTTTAAAGGCACTAGCAAACAACGTATTGAATCATTGGTCGTTGGACTGTTGGCAGGAGAACTCCAGTCCCCAGTGACGAAGCCAGATGCTCCGTTCACCCAGAAACTGAATGTTAACACAAGTCACTTTCAGTCATTTTCTTTCTGAAATGAACAGTTTTTGGGCCATTTGGGACATATTTTCTGCTCACAGAGCTCTTTGTACTCCTCCTCACAGCTCTTTAAAGTTTATTTTGTCATTAAGAAATGAGATTCTCTTTGTTCAGAAAGCAATAAAGCACCGATTATTGTAATGAGAGCCGAGGCATTGTGACATTCAGACAGTGTCCCGATTGTGTGAATTATGAGAGCAATTACAGCCACGACAACACCACTTTGGCTGATCAACAGGCTGTAATCGCTCTCCTCCAACCCCCCTTCCTCGCTCTTTATTCCTCTCTTTGTATTTTTGCTCATTGTTTTGTGTGCCGACTCGTGGTATTTCAACGCTGCACTGATTGTGAGAATTGTATGGAAGCAATTAAAGAAAACATGTTTTGAGTGCACAACATTGAGCAGGGTAATTGATCTCCATTTCTGCATTTCTCTGATATTCCCTGTTGTCCCTTCTTCTGTATTTATCTTTATTTCTTCCTCTTTATTCCTTAACTACCTTTTTTCTCTATCCAGTCAACCGTCTCTTCTCATATCCCTTTCTTTCTCTCTAAACACTGCATCCTCTTCTTTCTCATTTGTCCTCACATCCTTCCTTCTTATCCTCCCCTTTTTCTTACCATATCCCCATCGATTACTTTACATACTTCTGTCCTTCCGATTTTTGCCTCATTCTTCCTTATCTCCTCTGTTTTAGATAAGACATTAAGAAGCTGTTAAAGCCCAGAATTTCCATGTTTCCTCAAAAGTGGCAATGATGCTGTCTGCAATTAAAGTTGTTGACAATGTTGCAATATGAGTAAAATTATGAATGGTTAATTATGTTCCCCACTTTCTCCCCTAATGCAGGACTTCCTGGAGACTCTGGAGGACTTGGATTTGAGCTACAATAACCTGGTGGACATCTCCTGGGACACCATCTCCATGCTGGTCAGCGTCAACACCCTCAGCCTCGACCATAACCTCATCGAGAACGTCCCAGAGGGAATCTTCTCCAACCTGCACAAACTGGCCAGGTCAGGATCATGTGATGACACTTCCAAATTATCTTTCTTTTTGTTTGTTTGTTTCGCTCAGGACGTAAATAATGCCAATAGAAAGGCAACTTGGAGGCTTATTTGTGATAGACACACAGATGTAATGCATCCACATTAAGCAACAGTCAGAGCAAGTGACGTAGTTTTTAATATCCAAAAAGACCCCTGTTTATTGGTGGCGGTGCTCGACAGCGAGTTGTGGTTTTCCTAAACCTAGTTCCGTGGATTTGTTGCCTCAACCTAACTTTAGTTTTTAATGTCATCTTCAATATAAGGTTGTCTGTGCATCACGAAAAATACATACAATTCGTGTCCCTGCCCACGAACCCAACAGATTGCATTTCGGGACTATTTCACGGACTGCCGTGAGAAAAAAAGACCATGTCACCAGTTGGGTGCAGTAACCATTCAGCACTGCACTGAGGTGCTCTATAACATACAGCTATAGCTGATACTGATAGCTTGATGGATGTTCATAGCCTATTTTAACTCATAGTCTTACAGCACATATACTGTGTGATGCAGTCTCAGCCACTTTCACCACACCGCATTCATCAAACAAGCGCTCATACACCCTCTGCACACTGGCTGCTCAGCAACAAACAGACAGAGAGACTAGCTGGTGAAGAGAATGGAACATTTAGCAGCTCAAGAGACTTTTTTTAATCTTTCATTCATCAGGTTGTTTTAATAGGAACCTGTTCTCTGATTAGCACAGGTGTTGATATGGTGGTATTTATAGTTGTGTTCCCCTGGTGGCCAAATATTAGTCATTGCAGCTTTGATTGATGTTAGGGATATTTTGAAGTGGGGTTATATGAGTAACTTCTCCATAGTCAGTATATTACCAACAATTGATGGTGGGTCAGCACGCCCCCAGTTTTGAGAAACAGACAGTCGTACCATCGTGGGAGCAAAGCACTGTTGTGGACATTGTCTACCAACAAAACACATTCTAGCCACCTAAAGACAGCCCTTTACGACAGGAACTAAAGCCGTTATATCCATCTATGCTCTTTTCAAAGTGACCAGACAAAGAAAGCAGCGATAGACCAGCAACTCCCGTGTTCTGAAAGGTAAAATGACAAAGTGAAAGGAGTCTGGCGGCTTTAAGAGCGCGCACACATACATACCGGTTCAGCTCCCAATCACTATGTTGGCAAGGTAAAGCGGTGGAATTATTCTATTTAAAGTGAACAATTGCTGCTAATCAAGTCCGTTTCTCCAAACTCCATCTACTGCAGGTAATAAACTGACGTTGAAAAAGTACCTCATACAACCCCACTTCGAAACAAAGAAACCATCCCTTTAAAGTATGAAAATCCCCCAAATCTGAGCAATGGGTTTATGACAACACTTCACATCAGCCCTATTCCATTATAACAGCATTTTCAGAAACTCCCATACATACATACATACATACATACATACATACATACTGATTGTGTTATTCTAAAACATATTATGAGGTGGTGGAAACCAGCTAAATGTGCTTGAGAAAGACACCAAAACCCCAGGAGCCGTGGAAGAGATATATAAAGAAACAAGTATTCAGTTGCACAATAAATGTCTATAACTATTACTGGAAGAATATTCAGAAAGCTGCAAACGATTCCGCACATGAACTTTAAATGTTCCAGGGACAAAAATATTTGAATGATCCAGAATAAAAGACTGATCAAAGGACTTCAGTGCATCTGTCTTCTGGGAGTACATCTCCCTAAAGGGAATTTTTGTTTTCACTGAAGCACCAGAATCAAAATAAACCATTTCGAATTGTGTTTTGTTCAACTGTATTGGTGCCAGTGGTGAGCTGCGTTTTCATTTCACCGATTCTTAAAGCAATTAAACAGAAGACGAGAGCTTTAGGCAGGATACAACCGAGCCGGCATCACAGAGTAAATCCCTCCATGTCAGGGCTCACTTTAATGGAAGTTGATCTTTCGAGGCTCAGTTCACTTTGCAGGCAAACTCCTGTACAGCAGCAGCTCGCTGCGCGCTCACTCAGCTGGGAGATGCCCAGTAAGACCAAGGCTGCACTGCAGCTCGACTGGAGCAGCCGGAGGGCTCGGCGTCTTGCCCGAGGGCACATCGATGGTAGATGTTGCAGCCTTCACCGACTTCCAGACAGAATGGGGATTTCTGAGTTGTTGCACAAATTCACAAGGAAACAGACACATTGCTGGCATATCTGAAGGTAATATCTCAGATACACAGATGAGAATGCACTTTGTCTATCTAGTCTCAGTCTCGTTTCAAACTGCAGAAATCAGGACTGAAAATAAGGAACCACATTACACAGATTGAAAAAACTAAGAGTGCTAAAGTGCTGATATTATTTTCGAAACTTAAACCATTCTTCATATAAAACTAGAGGACAGCATCGCATCTGACTCACTCTGCAAAGTTTCTGCATCTAACAATTTCTATCAGATGACGTATTTCTACAAACTTGACAAACAAAAATGCAGACTTGGCGTGCAATGGCATTTCCATTGCTGATCTATTACTTCTTCAATTTTCTCTAATATCCATTACATTTTGATGATTCTTATAAGGGTGTACACTACACCATATCAGACTTTGTCAGGGACAATTACTGGCCCTAAGGATGATGATGTTGACTTGCCGGTTTCCACATTCTACCAACCTCAACCAGGATGGAGACAGACATTTGACATCTTACCTAAAAAATATTTTTAAACTCAGATTAGAAACTCATGACAAAAACAAAAAAAAAAAAAAAAAAAAAAACCTCATACAAACCAATTCATATTAATCCTTTTTTTCCAAGGACAAAACTATTTAGAAGGTATTATAGGTCCACTAGTGTTCTCATAACCTTCCTTGGTTTTTCAGGTGTACCCAGTATGAGACAAAAATGGACACTGCCAACCTAATAGGGACCACCAGAAGCAGCTCCCATGTGGCTGGCCTTTCACAAAGAGTTAATACCACCAACACCATTTAAAACACCTTAAGATCTCTCCTGGTCCACCTTAAAGACAGGACATGTGCCGAGAGGAACATATTACAGCATATGAAGTGGTCGAAGGTCATCGACGTGGCCAGCAGCCATGGTTTAACCTGTGACACCTCCCTGAATAAAGGAGGTGTGAAGCACAGTTTGTTATATATTTTTCACTTCTGTATTTTATCGTCCCTGGCCTCTGCCCTGCAAAGCTCTGTCTGGCATTTTGTGTTTCTACAAGTAAAGCTTGTTCCTATTATACATGGATGCATGTGTGGTCTGAGTAATTTGGCACTCCTGGCACAAAACAACATTTCAACCCAATTAATAGTAATCAATTTGCGTCCTGACGGCCAGCAGTCTTTGATATGCAAAGAGGAAAACTAGCCAGGTTCTTGATAAACAGTCATGCATTTATTAAAACGGCTCTAATGGGTTATTTCTGCCCTCGAGACACAAAACTTATGGCCCAGCTGCGTTACTCACAATTTGTCTGTATGCACAGGTGAGCATTACACACACACACACACACACAGCACAAGGCTGCTGCCCATGAAATAACATAATTGAAATGTGTAAAGTGCAGCATGCTCGCTGCTCTCAACATGTATTAACTTCCTGTAAAGTCATTGCTGTTGTCGAATATTTCTGGAGGGACTTTGGGGGGGGGGGGGGGGGGGGGGGGGGGGGGGGGGGTGGGGGGGAAAAAAGACTTTTCCGTGTTTGTTGCTGACAACAGTAAATGTTTTAATCGACCACATTATGACCAGTCGTCTGCACCAATATGTTGGCCAGCAAAATTACTTTTCAATTCCCAGAGAGGGTGCAGTGGCCTAATGACAAACAAATGCAGCCGTGGAATATTTATCCACCGTTATTGACTTTAAGTGTGAGCCCAATTCGCCCACTCTTCTTTTAATGCAATTCAATATTTTCTACTTGTCGGTCAGAATACCTTTAGAAGGGTGCAAACATCTTTGATTGAACTGCTGATTGTGCATATTGAGTAGAAGAGAAATATTTTGCTGTAATTACATGATGTCCAGGCATTGGGGTATATTTTCTGCTGATATACAGATCTGTGCTTCTTCTACAGTCGATTTTTCCTTCTGCATGAAGAGTTCTTTGGTCTTTATTTTGAAATTGTCCTTAAAGTGACATTTAAAGTGCCATTGTGGTTATCTTGGCGGCCACTTGAGGGCAGAATAACTCTCAAGGCCCTTTCACACTGTTGGCCAATGTTGGGCCGTGGGCGAACCTCTGCAGCTCTAGAATGTGTCCTTCACCGTTGGCACTAGTCTGCACTTGCTGGCGGCTTTTTGGCCAATTGAGCAAATAAATGGCCAAGAATAAAAATCAGGAAAGCAAACAAGTAAAGTCAAGAGGGCACATACAGAAGGAGCTCCAGTACAAAGGTACTTTCACAGCAACATCCGGAATAAAGCTAAGTGGTGAGCGAGACTGGTGTGAAAGTGGTCGGCGAACGCTGCTTTGTTTCATGGAGGTATCATAACAACGACTTGTATATCTGCTGTCTGAAGTCTGAAGGTTTCCCCTTCTGGATGACGAATACGGACTGAGTTATTTGCTCTTACACAGCTCAGAACATACGTGCTAGTTGGCCGTTGGCTTAAGTCTTTGCCGTGTGACCAAGTTTAGCCTAGAAAAAGGTGAAGTGAGGCGACGCTAGTTTTTATATGTCGGTTTGTTGTTCATTATCAATATAGTTGTGGTTAAAGGTGATTTTTCATCACCACGTCCTGGAGCCACATGATTACTTCTGTGAGCTGAGAATCAAATACCAATCAAACTTGTTCTGCCGTTGCTCGCCTTCCCAACATCATAATCATTTTTGAATCACACTTCAGTTAATGTACATTTGATACGCTGCAGCAGACTTTTCCCATTATGGTAACTCAACTCTCAGCAAAAAAAAATGGATTGAAAAAGAGCCATCACTGAATATTAGGTTATTTCTAAAATGATGATTCCATTTGTGATCTGTGTGACGATGAAATAATAAGGCTGTCCATGTCTGACAGCAGGAAGATACTTACATAATACTGCAATCTGTTCAGTGTGGAATAAGTTTGCATGCAGGGATGATTCAGACCCAAATTGTAACAAGTTGTATATGGACCCAAATGCAACACACCAGATTCCAGGGATCTTTGGCTTTATTGCAAACCTCCAGATACAGCAGGCAGAGTTTAATCAGAGTCAGGATCAGAAGGCGGGTGGGTTTACCGGGAGTCAGGCAAGGCGGGTAGAACAGGGGCAGGCAGGGTCGGTAACAGGCGATCAATCCGTGGAGCGTGCTGGAGAGTCTGGCATAGAACCGAAGAACAATCTGGCAAATGTGTCTGGGAGGCAGGAGTCTATATAGGGGCTTGATTACTGATCAGAGGCAGGTGAGTGAACAGGTGAAGGGAGTTTAGACTGATGAGGAGGGAGTGACTGACAAGAAGAGTAAGGAGGGTGTGGAGCTGAACTGTGACACAAATGGGCTCTTTGCTTTAAACCACACAGTCACTCATATTCCCACTTTATGCATGTGAACAGAGCTGGTAAAGAACAAGCCTTTTAAAAGGTGCTGTCAGTGTGGTGTTGAAAAAGAATGTGTAAATGAGAAGTCAAGAAATTATTGAATTGATCTACATTCATATGACTGCAATTCAACATCAGCTGCAGTTAGAAGGAGATGGACTAAAGGATTTTTCTTTTCTGAAGGTTTTGAGATGTTTTCTTTAAAAAAAAAAAGAAAAGCGAGGCTTGCTTCAGTTTTAGATTCATACACCTTAAGTCGATTCTTATGATTCCTCAACTCCAATCTAAAGCCCCTTTCAGACTTGACAAAAAACCCACTGAACCTCACTAACACCTGGCTTTAGTCTTTAAAAGGTTTCAATCCACATTCATCCCCAGAGACAAATGACTCAACAGTCAAAGTATATTATGTGTATTATAATCTGCATTCAACATCCATCATGTGTAATATCCGTGCAACATGTGGCACGTAAACTACTTTCAAGGTTTCTACTTCTACTTTCCAGAATAAAGAATGAGGACATGACCTTATTGTCTTCAACAGGAGCTTTAGCTCTTCGACTGATTAACAGGCAGGCTGGGTCCATATGTTCACCTCCTTTTCAGCTCAATTTTGTATTGAAAACATAAATCAAGCACTATAAGTCTAAATCCCCAAATCTCTTTTCAAAATATTTTATTAAAATCTTCTTAATAATGGTAATAATAATCATAATAATAATTATAATAATAATAATAATTCTTAATAATTCATAATGGTACATTTTCATGTTGTCATTTAGCCATAATTGTACAGTATGTACATAATCTACCTGCTTTTCCTCCCATCTTGGTTTGTTGTCCTTTAGCCATACATGTTGTTGGTTACAATGGTTGAGAGTTAAACCTATTAAATATATTCAAAACGGATTAAACGGTTAGGCCGATTTACTTAGCAGATTTGATATCCTCTATTTTCTCTGACCTAAGCATGCTGGCAAGCAATCTTTAACAAAAAAAAGGTGTTGTGATTGATGAAACAATTCACCAGTTTCCCTTCACTGTCCACTACATGTCTCAAAACGAAATCAAAGTTCTAGTCTGATCCCTCTCCCTGTGTCTCCGTCTCCATCACCAGACTGGACATGACATCCAACAAGCTGAAGAAGATTCCTCCAGACCCGCTGTTCCTGCGGATCCCGGTGTACGCGAAGATGAAGGGCTCTCCTCTCACAGCGCTGGTGTTGAGTTTCGGTGGGAACCCCCTGCACTGTAACTGCGAGCTGGTCTGGCTTCGCAGACTCACCAGAGAGGACGACCTGGAGACCTGCGCTTCACCCAAAGACCTGGCCGGCAAATACTTCTGGACCATTAAAGAGGTTGGTTGAAGTCACTGCAGTAATATCATGTCATGAAAGCAACAAAATAATATCAAAAAAACATTCTGAACAAATGGAGATGTCAGAGGTTACATTGTGTATAATCAACAATATAGAAACATGGGGATACAGTAATGCACAACAAAGTGTCCAGATGGAAGAAAAACAATAGACTAAGGGCAAATAATCCATTATTAATGCATTATCACACTTAAACTGTGGTCACCTGGGGACAAAAGGAACATTAAACTTGATAAATATCCGTCATCAGTTCAACTTATCCACAGAGTTGGTGTTATTTCGGGGCACTGAGAACTGATTTAGAGCATTAATGAAAGTTTGAAAGTATTTTCTGTTTTTAGGTAAAGTGGTTCAAATACAGATCGTAGGACGTTACAGAAATCATTCGGATGTGCACATTGCTTCACGGTCCCACTTGGAAAATGTATATTTAGAGAAGAGGATTCATGACTAATACAGTGATTTAGCTGGATAATGGGTAAGGGGTCTGCTGCCTTCTTGTATTAAGTGCCATTTGTTGATGTCATGCAACCTGAAGGTTAGCATAACAGTACCTCAAAGAACACCACTTAAACATTTTCACAACCAACGGATGTTATTTTTTTTACGTTGCATATGTGCTGCATAGGATTGTTTCCTATTTGTGTAATCCAAACATATCCAATGTGAGCATTGTAAAGTCAAAAAGTCTACATTTGTTTAAAAAAAGATAGATGTACATTTTCTGATTCAATAAATATTTGTTGGCATTTCGCCTTTCAAAACCAACCTTTTATCCGTTGTTAAAAAACGTTCACTCTCCCGCTTGCTAGTCACAAAGGAAGGCAGCTCCTGTATTAACAGCACCAAACATTACATTTATATACCCACAAGAACCAAAAGTATTGTTTTAAGGGTGATGACATCATACAATATAATACATACATTTGATGCTTCATTCAAAAACCTCAATAGAGAATTTCATAAAAAAAGACATTTGGTACAGCCCTGCTCAACAAAGTTCTACAATATTGGTTCAGGCCTCGGCCTGCTTTGATAAATAATGCTACGTATGCAAACAGAGATCAGCTACAGTGGCCTCTGGTTGATCTTGTTACCTTTTGTGAGAATAATAACACAAATATTGTACTTCTTGATAAAAGCAGCCCCAAGTCATCATTAGCTGGCTAATTCTGTCACCTAAACAATTTATGATTTAAACATGTTTGTCCTAGAAATTGCATTCTGTGTGTTTGGCATCATAATACTAAACCCTGCAGCAAAATGTATTTGTTCTCTGTCTAAACTTTTAGCCCTCTGTGGATGCACGATCACGGCCGTTCTCAAGGACACTTGAGCCGGACAGATGGTTGGTGTCACAGAGGAGTGAACCTTCTGGTGAAAGTGTGGAGTCATGGAGTTTGATATGCAAAATGCATCAGATGCATGACATTGCATTATGTATTAATCCCTTATAGCATTGTAGAGTCAGAAGACACAGAGGTGGGAAATGTTGCTCCGGTTTTAAGTCACAGCAAATACCTAAGATCTTGTTAAGATGATAGAGCGTTGTGTAAAAGTAAGCCCCATAGCTTTATTTATTTAACAAGGACAGTGCACATTAATGAACATTACTGCAAATGTGGCAGTAAAGCCATTTTCCATCAGAAGTCGTCGAGAGACATGTTACAAAGGCAACCTAGAGTACATAAACAACTGGGTTTGAAGTACTAAATCGAATAGTAGTTAACCCTTACAAGTCTGCCTCCATGATGCTTTCACACGATGCAATTCTTTCCTACTGTCAATCAACATAACAATATTGTTACGCCTCGTGGAAACACAGGAATAAACAGGACTCAAAAGCACGACCCAGGCAGCAGGATAGGATGCAGATAAAACATCCTTTACTTATCGGATCAGGATCGGTACACAGGAAGGCAGTCAGTACATGCAAACAGGCAGGCAGGGATGAGGTTAAGGAAAAGAAACAGGAAACTGAACACTAGGAAACTTGCTGCAACGTGGGACAAACTGGGACACAGACAGTGGAACACAGGGTTCAAATACACTGGGAGGTGTAGGTGATTAGACACAAGTTGGATCAATCAGGGGCGGGGCAGATCATCACAGTGGTGGGAAAAAACAAAGGCAGGAAGTGAAGTGAGCTGAGAAGAGTAAGTAACACAAAATAATACAGTGAATACCGAAATGACAATAATATAGAAACTTAACTAGGGAACAGGACGAGACCTTAAGCACTTTGTGACTTTTGTCTGTGAAAAGCACTTTATAAATACATTTTTAACTGACTTACTTACTTGACAAACACAGGTGCTGCACAGAAAAACAGGAGGGAAGACCACAAAGACAAGAAGTGAAACAAACAGGATAAAACAGGAAACAAACTAAACCAAAACCAAGATCATGACAAATATCATGTACTGGTCCCCATGAGTAAAATGAGCCGCCATGCTTGATTGTAAACCCTCCTCACATCCAAGCAACATGTGTAACATCAAAGTGTAGTTATTATGTAGGATAATAGCCAAAGTTAATGGGGAAAGAAGCTGTAAAGAGTTATTTAAATACTTTGCTGGGATGGATTGATTGTGATGTTTTAGTGAAATATTCACATTGTAGGTGTTCAGTCCTGACCTATAAGAAGTCAGAATATCAATGACATGGTTTGACTTGAGGCCTGAGTAACACTTCCTTAGGTAAAGTGTTTTTGTTGCACTTATAAGTTGTAATTTATTGTGTGTGAGACGGTATGTTTCCACCAATAACACCAACAGATAGATAGACAGAGTTTCTACAATACTTCATTAAAAGTGTTCCCACCTTTACATGTACAGTTGTCACTCCTTATCCTTTTCGGTGTGCCACATAAGCTTGTTGCAGGTGGGCTTTAAGAGGTGAAAGGGAGGCGTTGTATGGACATGCAGGCTGCCATAATAAGAGCGTCGTAAACAAATGATTCACAACTGATATGTTTTTCAATGCCTCATTCTTTTACAGGAAATATTCATGATGGTTTAAATAAACAATTCGAAAGCATTTCCCATGTTTGCTGAGCAAGAATTAAAGGCCTGGCATGTTGATGCCTGTCCAAAAAATACGGCGGATAAGTTCAGTGATTGAAGCAAATTACTTCCTGTAGCGGTTACTGTTCTGTTAAAAGCTACCATGTTTGCACCCTTAGAATCCTAATAAGATATGTATTGTTTAAAGAAAATATGCAAAACATCCAATGCCAATAAGACACTTTTAAGAGGCACATAAATGGAAGAAGGAGATCACAGGACTGAAAGGGTTAATGTAAAAGACAGTGCTGTATGTACCGGACATATGTGAAAACAATATGTGGCATTGTCTATTTTATGAAAGCACATTTTAACCAAACTAAGCTACAGTGTCTTCCACCTGAAGGACATCAGAGAATATTTGAATATTGTTGATGATCCATTTCTCCCATTTTATTTACAAAAGCAAACAGCCATTATAGAGCAGCTCAGAGAGCGCCAAGCCAACCCAGTGCAGATGCGCTGCATATCTTATATCGCATATCTTATATCGCATCTCTTATATCGCATA